GTTAATCAGTTACAAATTATCAATGTAACACACTGTAAAAAAAAAAAAAAGTAAATTTACATTCTATTTAACACGTAAGTAGCCAGAGAGTTGGTGGTGGGTACTGCTAGCCAGTTGTCTTCCTTCTAGTCAGCTGTTCAAAATTAGTGACAGTGGCAATAACAAAGACAAAGTGAGTAAGTTTAATGACAATGGGAATCAAATCATGAGGTATTCCTCATCTTTCCCATCCATTATGTAGCATTGTTCTTAACAACAAACAAACAAAATGACAAAATACCGATTACTTGGATAATTGGAATAATTAAAAACCATAATTTTAATCAATTTGTTATTTTTCTGATAATCGATTTTATTGTCTTTTAGATTATTCAGTTGTTGGTTATTTTTGTGATATTAATAGATTAATCTTCACATCATTTAATTAGTTAGCTTATAAGATACTAATTGATGTAATTGCTGATCATATCGATTAAATCACCCAACTCTACTAATGATGTTTACATCATAGGCTAGCATAGTACATGTTAATGTGTATATTGGTGAAAATTTCATTTAAGACTTGGCACATGCACAAAATGTTTTGACAATGGCATGAGGTAATAGTTCTCTTTTCTGTGGAGAGGTGAGTATTTATGTGAAATACATTTTCCTTACATGAAAATGTTAACTTCTTTAATAACAGATTTCATTAACTTAAAAACACAGATTTTAGATAATGTATCAAATTTGAATTACTATTGAAAATTACTTCATCACTTGATTGTATTGCCTCTTCCAAAGAGAGAAGGAGGATGTTTTATTATTATTTTCATTTATGATATTGGTGTTAGACCTGTTAATGTCCATTTTTTTAATGTTGATTGATAATTATGGAAGAATAACATACCATCAATAACCCTGCCCTTTCACTAAATATCTATAATTAAATTGTGAACTGAGGGTTTTTTTGTTTATATGTTGTTGTTGGTGGTTTTTTTTGGGGGGGGGTAAAAACTGAAAATGAAATTAGTTTAGAAATGGGCATTAAAAGTTACAGTTTAAATACCAAAAACCAATGAAATATTGGAAACTAATAGGTCTGACAATTGTTATATAATAATAAAAAAAAACAAGTTAACTGCAGATTTTTTTTCTTTTAATTTTTCCATTGTGGTTCAAAGTCAGAGATATGTAAAAAAACAGCATTTCAGATGTATCTTTTGTCTCTAACAAATTGCTGGCCAGTAAGCTTTTTGTTAATACTAGAACTCAACTTTTCAACTTTGTTCAAAGAAAACTTGATCATGATCATAATTCATCATCTACTATGAATTTTTGCATAAAGAATTTGATACTCTTTAGAGATTCTTATGCAATAATATTTTTTCTGTTTGCCTAACAGGTTGAAAAATTTTTGACTATTTGAAAAGTTCAACTTCATAAAACCACCAATTCATGAAGTTCTTAAATGTTAATTTTTTTAAAATCCTTACTGAATATTAGTAAACAATCTTCTTATGTTAAAAACATAGCTGCATACCCTCTTCCCTAGATTGTATGTGCAAATACAGTTAACATGAATTTTTAAATTTGGGCATCATTTGCAGTATTATTTTAGGCATAAAGACAGAAAAGTTTACTGGAAATATTATATGTGGTTTATAATTTTACTTATCCTTGTTGCAAATAAGGTTATAGTGCATCTACCACAAGATAGCAGGCACCTGTGAAAGAGCATGCAACTTTAAGAACACTAATAGATTGAGCATATTGAAACATATCTTAAGTGAGTTATTTTAAAATCCTAGTAAAAGAACAAAGACAAACAAAGCCCCCTAAAAGAAGAAAACTTATTGATTCATAGGCAGAAGCTACAACTTTACATATTCAATTACATTTGCTACCATCATTGTTCTTTAGTTTATTTATTTTCAAAATGTTGTCCTTTCTTCTCTCTGTTATTGCTAACATGCTTCCCTTTATCTGTTTTTGTCTACCTTCATGTTAGTGATTATGGAATTCTCATTTTTATTCCCTTGTGCTTGCTACAAACACTTTTCCCTCCATCATTTCAGTGGCTAACAAAACATTTGACCTTCCTGCCACTTCGTATTCTAATGATTTTTTTCTGTCATTTGGCACCAAAATGTACTCTTCTTTTCAATCATTCATTCATTTCAAGACATCTACACCCAGTATTTTGTGCTTATTATTTGATTACGATCATTAACATATTATTATCTTCCTTGTGTTGCTACTTTCATTTTTCTCTCATTGTTGTCATGAAATACCTACAACTTACTTTTATTTTCACTTACATGCTACATTTTTTCTATGTATTTTTTCCTCTTAGGTAATAACAGCAACCTCTCCATCATTTATTTTATTTGTTGTGGCTATTCTATTATATATATATTCTTGTCAATTCTGATCAGTGTCTTTTCTTAATGTTATTTACTATTCATACTTCCTCCTTCATTTTTGCCACATATTCTACCAACATCTTTTTTTCTCCCTCTTATACTGACATTTTGTTTTTTCCATTGCTAAATACTCATTTAAGAGTTGAAGTGGTGTATGTGTTAAAAATATAATGATTATGAAATTATATAATACACATAAATAGCTAATGTTTTTATTAACAACTTTTTTAGAGATTTTACCAATAGCATTGTATGGGAATAATGTTTATTGTTACCAGGTACAAAATGATTACTAGTTGTGCAGAAGACAGAAGTATGTTCAAGAAGCTGGCCTTTCACTATGTTATCTTTGATGAGGCACACATGCTGAAAAATATGAGAAGTCAGAGGTACCAACACCTCATAAGAATCAAAGTAAGCTTGTTATTGTTTGTGTTTCTCCAAAATATTTTTAAAATAGAAAGTGGACAGAGTTAAGACACCCAAATACATTTATTTCTGGAATTCTAAATTGCAGACTTGAATTATACATCATTTGTAAAATCACATAGTTTTTCACAATACTTCAAATTGATTGCTGTTGGTTAAATTAACTACATATTATGAAAAATCAAAATTAACAAACAGTAGAAATTGGTTTGTTGTACACTAACATTTTAATTTACCTGCAGGTAGTTCAAGTAATAGTATAGAGTTATGAATGAACATAATAAGGTTAACTATGTACAGTAAACATCACAGAGTACACAGCAAGTAACATAAACAATGAGCATATCTTTTTAGAAGAAAGTAACTGGAAACTTGTAATCATTATATGATTAGTACAGATCAGTTATCTAGTTTTGGAGTTCCAGTCTTGAACTGATTAAGTGTCAGTTGTTTTCTCATTGAGTGTCTTGCAATGATACGGTTATTGTAAGTAAGATACCTTACACTGACACATGCATGCACACATATGTGAGTATGTGTATCAGATTTTGTATTAGTGCATGAAAATCTTGAAAGCACTTGAAATTAATTGCCTTTTATAAAGTCAAGGCTTTGGAAATGGTAATTTTGTTTTTAAAGTGGACACTTTAAACAACTGACATTCCCTGTATGAAAACAGTCTCTTTATATCATCATACAGTATTGAATTCAAGTGTTGTCCTATTATTTATTTTCATGAAAAAAAGTTTTTAAAATAATGGAAGTCACTTTTACGGAATATGACAGTATTGAACTGTTAATCTTGAAATTACTAAATCCTTTTATTTGCTGTTTTCAAAACTGTTAAAATTAGTGACTAATGACTGTGATAATTGATAATGTAAAACTAGGCTTTAAAACAGATTAAATATAAAAGCAGAGTGTCTGATCTTTGTTAACAGTGATTTTGAATACTAACAGCATCTGTTTTTAATAATGGCTGGAGACGGCTTGAATGGGTAATGAAGAAAACTTTAGTATAACAGCAAATGTACA